GTTAAAATTGAAAATATAACGCATAATACTTATTTAATATTCTGTCAGAGGTTTATAACTACTTTAGCACTATTATGGTTATATGCTTATCCTTATTCATAAACATTTACAATAAAGTTTTCAATTTTCTTGTTGAAGAGGCACCACTTCTGTGTTTATATAAGTGGAGTTTTTTGTTTATGTCTCCATTGCTATAGGCATTTAATTATAAAACTCCATTAAAAGTTTAATTTTATCCTTTATTTACGCAATGGCTTATGCTACTATTCTAAATATTTAGAACGGGTTTGCTAGTGTTTACAGACACATAACAATAACTTATTGTTACCTATTAAACTCCGTAATTAGAGGTTATTAATTCAAAGTTAGGTTCCCATTATTAGTGTCTAAAAAGAATTTCAAACTCATTCCACTTGTGGTGCTTCTTACTAAATTTCTAGGTAGCACTTTAGTAAGAGGATTTGCTAAGTTGTTAGCAGATTTAACATATATTATGTTAATCACCCCATTTTTTTATCAATTTTTTGATATAATCATGTCTTAGACTAATATGTTCAGATTTTCCATTATAAATTTCACTATAAGCTCTAGACATAGTAGTTTCACTATCACAGTACAAGGAAATGGCTATCATTAGATGTAGCCATAAATCTATAACCATTAATAAATTTTTTAGCCATTCAACTTTTTTGCCTACCATACCTAAAGCTATAAATTTAGATTCCATAGTTAAATGTGAAATGCAAGTTTGTTTTTTGGATGCCCAACTAATTACACCACCTCTACGGGTAAACATCCATCCTGAAGTGGATTTATTGTCACTTATACTAGTGATCCAACTTGCATATGAATATCCTTCCAAAATAGTTGGATCTCCGGAATAAAATAAGCCAAAATCTTTAGTTCTTTTAAGATAACCTAGAACTCTTCCTATGGTTTTCTAATGACTTATACTAGACTTACTTGTATATCTTAATAACTTGCAAATAGCAAAAGCTATATCTGACCTAATGCAATGCATAGCATACATAATACTTTCAATAGTACTAGCATATTCAAGTTGTGCAATTACATAACCTTAATTTTTTGTTAATTTTATACTTGTATCATATGGAGTATTGGTTTCTTTTATATTAAGATACTTAAACTTATTAAGTTGTTTCTCAATATAATTACTTTGATTAAATACAAAACCCTTGTTATATCTCTTAATTTAAATTCTCAAAATGGTATCAACTTCATTTAAAATTTTCATTTTGAAATTAAAAATCAAATACCTTTTGGTTTCATTTATCCCAATCATATTAGTACTAAAAATTAGCATATCATCCACATAGAAACATATTATAACTCTATATTCTTTAGTAAATTTTGAGTAAATACACTTATCTGCTCCATTATGTTTAAAACCATTGGCTATTATACTTGAATCAAACTTTTCATGCCATTGTTTAAGAGCTTACTTTAGCCCATAAAGTGACATAATTAATTTACAAACTTTATTCTCATTACCTGGAAAAATAAAATCTTCTAGTTGTTTCATGTATACTTATTCCTTTAAGTCACCATTTAAAAAGGTTGTCTTAACATCCATTTGATGCACATGTAATTTATAAATGGAAGCCAAAGCTATAAGAACTCTAATAAATGTTATTCTAGTTACTAGAAAATATGTATCAAAATAATCTATGCCTTCATTTTGTTTAAAACCTTTTACAACTAATCTTGCTTTAAAGGTTTATACAGAACCATCTGTATTATATTTCTTTCTAAGCACCCATTTACATCCTATAGGTTTAGAACTTGGAGGTAAATCTATCAAGACCCATGTATTATTGGACATGATTGAGTTTATTTCATCATTAATAGCTTCTTTCCAAAAAGCAACATCTATTAAAGTCATAGTTTCATTAAATGTTTTAGGGTCCTTATCTACATTTAGTAGAATTAATGTTTTATTGAGCACTTTGGTTCTATTTCTTTTTACTAGGAATACTATGGTATCTGGAGAAATAAAATCAAAAGGCAAAAGATTCTCTTTTATAGTTCTTTTATTCATTCTAAGTTCAATAGAATCATTACTTTTTTTTTATTTTTAATCGTAAGAATCATTTCAATTTGTGTCTCCATATCAATTTCAGTATCACATATAAACTTATTTTCAAAAAATTCTACATGAATAGATTTGACAATAACATTAGTATTTAAATCAAGAAGTTTATATGCTTTTGAATTTTGTGCATAACCAACAAAAATGCATTTAATACTTTTAAGTCATAATTTTGATTTATGAGGATGAAATATTTTATAAAAAGCAATACACCCTCACCTTTAAAATAATCCAAATTTGGTTTTCTACCATGATTCCAAAGTTCATATGGTGTCTTTAAGAATTTCTTTAAAATAATTTTATTATGTATGTGGCATGCCGTTAAAAGTGCTTCTCCCCAAAAATTTAGAGGTAATTTAGCATTTAACAACATACTATTTCTCATATCAATGAAGGTTCTATTTTGTTAAGGTGCATAAAGAGCTGTCTTTTGATGAATAATTCAATTATCTTCATAAAAAAGAGAAAATGAATATGAAAAATATTCACCACCCCTGTCAGTTCGAATAATTTTGATTTTCTTCTCCTTTTGATTTTCAACAACTAATTTATATTATTTGAATTTATCAAAAGCTTCATCTTTTGTTCTTATTAGATATATAAAAGTATAATGAGAACTATCATCTATAAATGTTATAAAACACCTTTTTTCTCCCCTTATTAATGAACCATTTAACTCACAAATATCAAAATGTATGAGTTCTAACAATTCTGTATTTCTTTCAGCTTTAGGAAATGGTTTTTTAGTCATTTTTGCTTTGACACATATTTCACATTTAATTTCATGGTTTTTCTGGTGTGGTATATAACCATGCTTAGTCATATGATTCATATATTGATAATTTAAATGTCCTAATCTAGCATGTCATAAAGAAAAAGGATACTCAACAATATAAATAGAAACATTATGTATTTCATCAATGCTTAGTTTAAACATACCATCATTGAAATATACTTTTCCAATGAATACACCATTTTTGGACATTATAACTTTATCATACTCTAGTATAATCTTAAAGCCTTTCTTACATAATAGATTTACAGATACAAGGTTCTTTCTAATCTCAGGAACATGAAAAACACTAAGTTAGTTTCTGTCCTATGGTGAATTTCAATTCAACCGTTGCTTTCCCAATCACTTTGGCAGGAACATGATTTCCCATAAGGATGTTTTCTAGTCTCTTGCATTCTTCATAAGTCTTGAACTGCTCTTTATTGCAAACATGAATTGTTGCACTAGAATCTAACCACTAATCAGATGACTTATTTGCAACAACTATATGAACTTTAATGATCATTTCAATTTGCATGTCAGTCACCATTGCAACAAGTTCATTAATTTTTTGCTCAACTAGATTTACCTTGCTTTTAGAACTAGAACCAATCTTAATTTCAGCATTTTTAAATCTATAATCTTTAATCAAATTTCCTTTCTTTCCATAATGGAAACACATTTTATTCTTGTTAAATTTGGATTTCTTAAATCCATTTTTCTTAACTTTAAAATTGTTTTGAAATTTACCAGAAGACTTGTGAGTTTTTTTAGAATTTTGTCCACTCACATAATTCACATTGGGACCTTTAAGAAAAGGTGCATCTTTTGCATGATTTTTCACTTCAATCTGTTTGTGAGTCTGAAATTCTTTAATAGTGAAAGTATTTATTAAATACAAAACTTTTTTCTTATATCCATTCCAATAAGGAAAAAGTTTTGAAAAAATAGCTCCAACTTAAAGTGAATCAGGAACCTTAATTTCTAGCTCACTTAACTTAGAAACCAAAATTTGCAACTCGTGTACTTGGTCCATGATTTGTTTGTCATCAGTTATTCAAAATTCAAAGTATTTTAAAGCCATAAACTTATATGTACCTTTCTTTTCGTTCATGTATTTGTGTTCAAGACCAGTCAATATCTCTTTTGGTATTTTTATATTTCTGTATAAGTCATAAAAATGATCAAATAATGAATTCAAAATATAACCTCAACAGACTAATTCATCTTCTTCACGTTTGCTTTTTGTTGCTTTAACAGCATTAGAATCTTCAAAGGTTGGTTTTGGAATTGATTTTAAATTTGGATCAAGTACATAAAACATCTTTAATGCAGTCAACAGAAAACCCATTTTGTCCTTCCGCCTAGTGTAGTTGATCCATTAAAACAATCAAGTCTGATTACATCTGATTTTGAAAATGAACCTTCATGCTTGATTCCAAATCCATAGCAGCAATAGGGACAACAGTAGATGTAGTATCCATAATTGCTTTTAAAATGTTAGAGAATTTAAGAAATCAGAAGTAATAAGAAAGAAAAAAATATAGCTTTAAGGCGTGAAAAATACTATCTTAAAGAAAATTATATCTATAGGATACAACAAAACCTTAAAACTCTTTAATCAGAAGTAGTGAAATTGGTCAGACAGAAATATCTATTTATAATAAATGAACAGTCACTAATCAAGCCAATTTAAAAAGTCTTGACATTTTTGTATAGTCATGTTTTCTTGTTTAAATAAACTTTATTTAAACAGTCATGTTTTTCCTGTTCGTATATATTTATTCTTACCATCATATTTTTCTTTGTTTAAACATGTTTATTCAGAATTAGTAATATTTTAAAATAAAAAAAATAAAAAAAATTTAAAAATTAAATCTATTTGTCAAACAAGCCTAAGTGCCTTAAAATTGTTTGACCCACTAAGAAAACTCTTAGCAAGCCCAAATGACTTGACCATTTCCAACACTTAGCTCAATTACTTAAGTAATATAAGTAATTTCTTTTAAATCACATATAAATGATTTTTCTACTCAATGTGAGATACACCACATTCTAAACTACCAATAGAAATTGCCTCAGTAGTAACAATGTTACGGATAAAATCCAGATAATCCTCTACCCCTCCTGAGCCTGTAGGCCAAGTCTTGCAAGCTTATGAGCTGCCTCATTCCCTTTTCTTCCTGTGTGCACTGCTTTAAAGGATCGGAATTGTCTTGCAAGTATGCAAATTTCTTCAATGAGTACACCTGGTGACGAGTTATTCTGTAGTGAAATGTTAAGCCTGTTCATTAATGTCAGATTGTCTCCTTCCATGATCACTTCATTAATTCCCATAACTTTTGCCACCTCCAGTGCACGTAAAGCTGCTATTGTCTCAATAGTTAGGGCTTCAGTTATCCATGGCCATTTTGAAACATATGTTCTCGTAACCAACCCCTTTGAGTCTCTGATTATCACTCCTATTCCCCCTACCTTTCCTTCCACATTGACAGCGCCATCAAACTTCAATTTGTGAAGTCCTGTAGGTGGAGGTTTCCAGCCCTGCTGAGTTGGTTCCTGTGCCCTCTCTGTTTGCTCTTAGGCGCTTATAATTTCCTGCTGGTAGTTCTTTGCCCGTATTGCAGATATGGCTGGGTTTCTTCTTGTCTCACCATGCAACTCGTTGTTCCTGCCAATCCAAACTGTCCACGCTCCTATCGTCAGTAGCTGTACTTGGTCTTTATTCAGCACGTCCATCTGTTTACCTTTTCATATCTGCTTGTGCTTCGACCTCCTTTTCACAGTATTTATATATGTAAGAAGTATATGTTATTGTTATTCAAGTTACTATGTTAAAAAGATGTGTACATTTTTCTCTTTGTTATGTATGTCTAAGTAATTCGAAACAGAGGTCATATGGTCTTGGTTCTGTTGCAGGTTGCGTCTGTGAAAGTTATTCTAATTGATTAAGTTCTATATTTAAGGTTAATTGGTTGTAATTATTATGAAATTTAATTTAGGGTTTTAGCGGTGAAAATTTTATTGTTTTATAAAAAATTTATATGTAAATTTTACACCTTTTAACTTTGTAATTGATGTTTATATTTTATTTGGATTTGCTTTAATTTACCATTATTTCTTAATTGAAACATTTTCATTGATTTAGGTTGTCGTGTTAGAATTTTTTACTTTGTTCTTTAATTTTGAGGTTGTTTTTAGCTATTTTGAAGAGTAAAATCTTATGTAATAAAAGATAAGTATTGATATTTTATGGGGGAATAAGAATTTATTTGAGATATGTATATACTACTTATACGATATGCATATAATGTTTATAAGGCATGTACATAGTGCATATAGAATATGTACATAGTACTTATATCATATATATATATAGTATTTATATGATATATATATATATAATGCTTTTAGGATATGTACATAATAGTTATAAGATTTGTACATTTAAAAATAAGCATATATACCTCTCATTATAATGTCAAAATCTTAATGTCAAAATTTTAATTGATGAAATTTTATATTTAGGGTTAGTTAGTTGTTATTGTTATAAATTTTAATTTAAGGTTTTAGAGCTGATAAAAGGTAGATATTGATTGTTTATAAAGTGAGGAACTCATTTGAGATATTTACATAGTATTTATAGGATATGTATATAGTGCTTATAGAATATAACATGTTACTTTCAGAAAATGTACATATAAATATAAATATATGTATATCTCATTATAATATCAAAATTTTAAGTTCTATATTTAAAGTTAATATTCTTTCACACTTGATATTCATAGATTCATCTGTTGGTAGGAAAACAAATTTAATAGAATTGTTCTTAAAGGTTTCATATTTGATTCATCCCTAGTGAATAAATCTTTTATACCTTTGTCATTGAAATACATGCTTTTTGGATAAAACTTTTCTTTTGATGAATCTCATTAATCAATAATAAATTAATATATAATTGGATGAAACTCATATTTAATAGAGTTTAAACTTTAAGAGTTATAACGTAACTATTTTGTTAAGTGGTAAGTATTTCTCTGAGAGTCAAATTTCTTTTTCTTGCAAATAAAAAAGGTTAAGAGTTTTTGAATTTAGAGCATTTTTTTAATACATTACATTAGTTAAATTACTATTTCTAATAATATTCTTAAAGTGTCTTAAGAACATTTTATTTATTTATTTATTTTTTATGAAAGCATTTTTTAGATTAGTTAAATTACTATTTATAATAATATTTTTATATTAAATGCATTAATTGGTAATTAATTTGATAAATTTTAATACATTGGGAGAATACATTATTTAATATAGTAATTTTAAAGAATGCTTTAAGACACTAGTTACCAAAATTCCCTAAAATAAAAATTTAATCGCTTAATTCAACTTTTGGTGTAATTTTTTCAAGTACTTCCGAAACTTTCAACTTTGTTTATTAATTAAGAACTAGAATGTGATTTATATATATATTAAATAATAGCTTGCGTTAAAGTTTTAATAGAACAGCTAGGCCCACCGGCCACAAGCAGCCCGGTAAAAAGTTTTATACTAATAAGTTTAATAAATTTACCAGGGAGAGCAGTCCGAAGCATGACTTGAAAGTTGAAACCCAAAGAAAATGTCATCATATCAGCCCATGGCTGGGGACTCCGAATAAATCATGCGTGCAGATGTGTTTTATTAGTAAAAAGTTTAATTAATTTGGAACTCCAAATCAACCATGCATGGCAATTATTTTAATTTATCTAGAGTGAAGCCCAAGCTTCGCCTAATTTTTATTTATTTTTTAATTTTTTATTATTATTATTATTATGAATAAGAATTGTAAAAAATTTATAAAATCTATGTGATATTTGATATTTGAAGGAAATTTTATAAGCTATCAATTGATAGATAAAAAATTTAACTTTTAAAGTATTTGAAGTTCTAAAGGTCTTTTGGAAAAAATCATTATTATTCTATAATTCTAGAGTATATGATGTTTGATTTTTTTAAAAAAAAAAATTAATAGGATATTTAGGCATGTTTTCAATTTTCACAGAACCTTACACCTAAGAACTCATTACTTGCTAGAGCCATTGCTTGTCGGAAAGCCTCATTCTCCTTTGAAGGTGATTGATTAGGATCCGTGCATTCTAAATTTAATCTTCCAACCCTACAGGATAATTGTGTATTTGTTCACATATCTTGGAGGCTTATCTGTATCAAACTGGTTAATTCCATTGTCAATCGCATCAATTGCCTGGTAAAAGCAAAAAATAATATCTCGAATGAATATGTAAATCCATAATCACTAAACTGATGCTTAGGAAAATGAAAACCAAGGAAAGAGAAGGAAGCCTATGACATAAATCCGATTCATACTAGTCAGAACAAAACAAAGCTAGAAATTTTCATTGCAAACACAGAATTTATAATCTGTAAAATTCTTTTGAACCAGTTTCAGAAGGTTGAAGCTCTATCTGTTTGTTGGACCATAAGATCCTAATTTACTTCCAAGCCAAAACTCATGAAATTAAACCCCTTTAGAACTTAAAAATCAAAGATGTAAGCACCTCCATGAAGTTTTTGTAAATGGCCAGAAATAATCTATGCATATTCGGGTGGTCTTCACCAAGCTAAAGCACTTTAGTTATTATCTCATCTCCAAAATGCTAAATATAGGGAAAATTAGACTGATAATCTAGGAACAGCATAAATTACCGAAAAACATCATTGCTTAGATTATACTCCACCAAATTGTGTGACAATCACCTCCTCTCCCAGTAGCATTCCGTCAACACCTCGGCCTTTCCCGTTTCTATCTCCATTCCCTGCTCTCATTCATGTCTCTCTCTTTCTCTCTCCAACTCTATTGTCTATTTGTCTGCCCCTAACTTTATTTCGCTCTATCTTTTTTCGTTTATTTGGAGCAAAATGAAACCTTTGACCACATGTCAAAGAAAAATATGCATGTAAGGCAGATGTCTACTCCATAAAAGAAAAATAACCACATAACTAACAAATGTCAATCTTCCTTTTCAAATTTTCACCAATGGAAATGAAAATCTCATGGGTATAATAACCAAAAAAAATAATCTGACCCACGCCCTCCTTTGCAAAACTCAACAAATTTAAACTTTAAAATCCAAATTCCATCATTTTTGGCCCACAAAACCCACAGCCCACCCCAAAGAATAATACATATGCCATCCTCTGATCTCATGGGGTGAGAATATATTAGTCATTAATTGAAATATAATGGTTAATATAGTCATTTCAATATAAAGTACAATTGCGTTTTTGGGATATTTTTTATCTATAGTTTATAGATAGTTATGCTCAACTTTCACCCATCTTTTCTAGACATGTCTTTATCCCCACCATAATGGTTGAATTAATTAAAAGTTAAGTATGCTCTTTTTATCAATTGTATACTAAAATACTTGTTTTACACCACGGAAACGATGACTTTACGGGAAACATATTTGATGCATGCATATGCCTTTAAGTTTTCAATATGAAATAAGAAACCACTTATCTCATACGCTATTTGCCCTAAAAACTTAAAATTCTTTTAGCTTTCCCAAAATTCAATTTTAATTTAGAGTTAATCATGTTGTACTTGACTTAAAGTGTATAAGCAAATTTAAAATTTAATTTAATTTATTCATTATATAATCATTTGTAAGAGGTAATATTTAATAAATTTAATATTCAAATATCTTTAATTTTTTTCTTTTTTTCATACTATTTTTTTTGCAAAAAAATTTATAGATAAATAATTCTCAGTCGAATAATCAAACGACTTAAAAGTGTTAAAAGTGCAGAACAATTTTAACCCTTAGTTTTTCCACTAAAAAGAAAAAGAAAGAAAGTTCGATTCCTTCCGCTAAAAAAAAAAAAAAAAGAAAGAAAGAAAGCGCGATTCCCTTGTGCTGGGGCAATCCAAATCGTAATTGAGAAGGTTATCAACTTGTTGCTTATGTGAAGGCTTATCTATCCTTAAAATGAAAATTAACTACGAAATTTAATAAATATATGTGTTCTTAGAATAAGTTTAGGGTAAAAGGATAATTTAGATATTGAAATTTAAAATTAAAGATTAAAGTGAGAATTTTTATATTTAAATATATAAATTTATTTTGATAAAACCTAATTCAATATTAAATTTATTTACTTAATTTTATTTTAATTTATCTATTTTTTTATAATATTAAAGCATTTCATAATGATAAGTGTAACATAATGACAAATTTTAAATTATCTTACTCATATGACATAATTAGATATAAGTTATGGGTAAAATTATATGATAAATCTTTATACTTTAGTTAAATGGTAGAATTAATCTTTCTATCTTAATGTATTTAAATTGAATCATTATACTTTAGTAAATTGTCAAATTTAATTAACTTGTTAACAGTTCAAACTTTTCCTGATAAAATTAATGATGTGGTATTTTGACTTTCAGACTTGACATTTTACTTACATGGTTATTGACTTTGCTAATGTATTAAGTCTACGTGGTAAAAATGATAATGTGGTAAAAAATTTTGCTACATCAACATTTTTCATATAAACTTTTTTCAAATTATACCACTCATTTGTGTACTTTGATTAAATAGTAGAATTAGTTTTTTTACCTTAATGTGTGTTTACATTTGGTTTCTATACATCAATTAATTATCAAATTTAAAATTTAACCTAAACTAAATAAACTAAAACTAAAACTAAAACAAAGCATAAAAAAAAATTTCAATACAAATAAGTCGAGTCTTAACAAAGTTAATACATAGGCTAACATGCGAGTTGTACTAAACCTATATTTTAAAACAATGTCATTTTAACCTGTTATAAAAACAAATTGTTTTTTTAATTTCCCTCTTTTCTCCTCTCTCTTATCCTCATTTTTCTCTTACTTTTTTTTTACAAAGTCTCATTTAACGAATTCATATTTCAATGTGATTTTTTAAAAACCAATTATCAAAGCAATTGCAAAAAGAATTTATCTCCAATATCCAAAAATCGTTAATACCCAAAAATCAATCATCGACACCACGTTTTATATTATCATCATAAGCACAACTAAGCATAATCTCTTAAAAATTCTAAATCTAAAACTTCTAAAAAAGAATTTTTCAACCAAAAAATTACTTCTAATTATTTTGTTAGTTGTCATTTTTTTTTTTTGGTGTTATCTTGTCTATTCTTGTTAAATTCTCAAAATTTTTTCAAATCAATATTTTCAAAAAAATTTCATATTTTTCTTGTTTTTCAATTTTCAATTTTCAATTTTCAATTTTCAATTTTCAATTTTTGATTTTTTCCTTTTTTTTTACTTTGACTTCTTGACTTTTACCAATTAAATAATATAAATAAATACATAATTAATAAATAAAATACTTTTAAGCCTTTAAATTTGGACTTAAAATCTAATTTCACAATTAAGGCTAAATCCAATGTCGAGATGTAATTCAAAGCCTATTTAATATTAAAATTTTTTTGGATAAAATAGGATATTTACAATTGCTTTTATTGTTGACTATGTATCTGGGTTTGTTAATTATGGATTTCTTGATCTAATTTCTGTGTTATATCATTTTTAAAGTTTTTTATTTTTATATATTTTTATTTTTTATTTCAAAAATATTGAAAATAAAAATTAACAAAAAAATGAAAAAATCAAAATCAAATTAAATAAACAAAGGAAAGATAAAGGAAATATATAATTCAGTTAATGTAGGGTTTATAATCTAATTTGAAATTAACCTAATTTGTCAAATAAAGTCCAATTAATAATTCAAATATCCAAAAATATTTATCTAAATATGAAAAAAAAATCTAGTTGAACTAATAATTTATGTTTTTATGTGTTATTTTAGGGTAAATTTTAAGCTAAATAATTAATTAATGTATAAAAATTAAATTTAAACATATATTAATATAAAAAGACTAATTCTATCATTTAATTAAAGTACAAAAACTCATTATATAATTTAAAAAAAGTTGATGTAAAAAAATAAAGACGTGTTAAAAAATTTTGTCACAATATCATCTTTAACAATGTGAATTTTTATACATTAACAAAATCATGACCACATAAGCGTTCTCACCAGAAAAATTAAAATATCACATCATCAATTTTAAAGAAAGAAATTTATATCATTAACAATTTGATTAAATTAAATAATTAATTAAAATATAAAAATTTAATTTAAACACAGTAAAATAAAAAAAAATTTCTAACATTTACGAAACGTACAAAGATATGGTATAGAATTCGATCTTAATTATGTAGATTTTAATAGAAAGGAAGATTTTTGTGCTCGTAGTGAAAAAAGTTTAGAACCTTGACCCTTTAGCTTTTCCACTAAGGAAACAAAAATGGGAAAGTTCGATTCCCTTCTGCTGTGGGGCAACTAAGGTCTAAGGTCCTGCCAATTACCGCGTGACAAATATTACATCGCCATTGATCGCCGTTGATAATTAAAGCATCTCCGAAAATCAATGGTGAACTTAGGTAGAAATAATTTTGATGGTACTTCTATTTGTCGTACATCGATGAAGGAAAAAAACAAGTAGTCAGTGTGAACAGAGGTCAGTGTCATTGAAGAATGTTGCTGTCTGGGCTTATGGAATGTTGCTCTCTGGGCTTATGGATGTGTTTATTTGAAGCTCCCAAACTGCGCAAAATTTCATAACAAAGAGAGCTAAAGATGACTTACATAGTTTTTCTCTTATTTTTCTACCTTACTATTTCATGTTCTCCCTCTTCTTCCCGTGCACAAAATGCAAACCTGAATTTGCCATTGAAAGCTGTAAACCTTGGGAACTGGCTCGTCACTGAAGGATGGATGAAACCTTCTCGTTTTGGTGGAATAATTAACAAAGATCTTTTGGTATACTATTGCTTTACTTCTCTTTAATTAAGGTTTCAGTCATTTAATTATCAGAACTCGATGTTTGCTTGCTATAGGATGGAACTCAAGTTCAATTTCTGTCCACAAAGCTGAACAAGTATCTCTGCTCCGAAAATGGTGGTGGAACAGTAATAGTTGCCAACCGTGACTCAGCTTCTGGTTGGGAAACCTTCAGGGTTTGTTTTTTTTAATCAGCTAATTATTTAATGATTTTGCAAAGCTACAAACAAACTGATCCTCAGGGAGCTTAATTATTCATTGTTAATTTATTCTGCTTTGTCTGATGAAGTTGTGGAGGGTGAACGAGTCATATTTCAACTTCAGAGTGTTCAACAAACAGTTTGTGGGATTGGGAAGTCAAGGTGTAGAAGCTGTTTCAAATACAGCCACCGATTCAGAGACATTTCAGATTGTGAGAAATGATGGTGATCTCAATCGAGTTCGCATCAGAGCACCAAATGGGTTGTTCCTGCAGGTACTCTGTTGTACTGCTTGTAAATTACAATAGCTTTCATTAGAGATTCAAGCATCCGGAATTGGAGAACAAGCATCAAAGCCAGTCAGAAAATTTTGACATCATATCTATGACTCGTTCTTCAAGTAGGATATTGCTCCGCTAATCAATTTTTTAGTTACTCCAATGAAGTTCATGTTACGGTTGTGTGAAATAAATTCATAGCTGTCAACAATTAATACTACTTTTCATTGTTGGCTAAGCAAGTGTTGAACTTAGATGGGGGATCATGACTATTACTGTCCTTTCAATGCCATAATAATTTTCCATCTCAATAAATAAATGTTAGTTTAAGGCATTGACTGTTTTGCATTCACGTTGTAATTAGGCACAATCGGAGATGCTAGTAACTGCAGATTATGCAGGCTCTAGTTGGGACGATAATGATCCATCTGTGTTCAAAATGACAATCTTACCAAACAGCTTACGTGGTGAATTTCAAATCACAAATGGTTATGGCCCTGATAAAGCCCCTCAAGTCATGCAGGTAAGGGTCTTCTTACTCGGCAACATGGATGGAATAAACACATACAAGCAAACTAGCAGGGTGTTGTATGGTGTTTGATATATGCTATAGTAGAAAGGAGTCTATATGAAACTATATGCCATTTCAGGATCACTGGAATTCTTACATCACAGAGGAGGATTTCAATTTCATGTCAGCAAATGGTCTGACTAGTGTGAGGATACCTGTAGGGTGGTGGATAGCACAGGATCCAACTCCACCAAGGCCATTTGTTGGGGGCTCTTTGCAAGCCTTAGACAGAGCTTTCACATGGGCAGAGTAAGTAACTCAGTCATGCCTCTTCTTATGTACCCAAAGAAAAATATCTGCATGAAATCTCCTAAGACAATAATGAGATGTAGGCTCATACATCAACCATGAACCTATTCTTGCTGAATAAAAAAAGACTGGTCAATTACCAATATAAACAATCCTCTCTCTTCATGTACAAAATAATGCAGGAAATATGGAATGAAGGTGATTGTTGATTTGCATGCACCTAAAGCCTCACAGAACGGTAATGATCACAGCGGGACGAGAGATGGTTATCCGGAATGGGGAGATTCCAACATAGATGAGACTGTGGCAGTAATAGAGTTTCTTGCGGCAAGGTTAAGATGCAAAACTCTTCTTTTGTTACAAATATGATTAACTAACTTTTCTTGCCATGTTCTAAATTCTAATGCTCTCGGGCAGATATGCTGGAAGACCAAATTTGGCTGCAATTGAATTGATGAATGAGCCTGATGCACGGATTGTCACTTTGGATGCCCTTACAAAGTACTATAAAGATGGATATGATGCCGTGAGGAAGCACACAAACGCTTATGTGATCCTATCAAATCGTTTGGGACCTGCTAATTCAAAGGAGCTCATCTCCTTTGCTAGTGGCTTGGATCGTGTAGTCATCGATGTGCATTACTACAACCTCTTTTCTGATATGTTTAGCAACATGAATGTGAAACAAAATATTGATTTTATCAATAATCAACGATCTTCTGATCTAAGCACCTTGACCTTAGCTAACGGCCCCTTGGTTTTTGTTGGTAATTAAGTCTAGATTATATCGTTCATGCATATGCAGTATTCAAAATTTTGTTGTCATGTTATTATAGGAGTAATTTTTTATGATGGGGAAAATTTTTGCAGGGGAATGGACTGGAGAATTTGCACGAAACGATGCATCAAAGGAGGATTACCAGAGATTTGCTCAAGCTCAACTAGATGTATATGGTCGTGCAACTTTTGGGTGGGCCTACTGGGCTTACAAATGTAAGCAAGACCACTGGAGCCTCAGGTGGATGATTGACAACAACATTATAAAGCTTTGAAATCACAATGGAGCCTAAAGTTAGAACAAGTCACTTGATAAAGCTTTAAAATTACAATAAATGATGCTGAGATTTAGGCTTTGCAGCTAAAAGTTCATGCGATGTAAACCAGGAAACTCTATTTTCTGTTCCATTTGTAGTGAATTGAGATCTACTCTTTGATTAGTACTTAAATTGTAATCTATTTTTGAAGCAAAATTTAAGTTGGGAATATGAAGTATACTTTAATACAGATTCGAAATATGCATTTCAAATGCCAAATAACAAGATTTTTAATACTGGAAACGGTAGCCAGCGTCACAATGAAAGATCTCATTTTCATGCTGTCACAAGCTGTCTACCTGGTTTGGTTCGCGATTTAAATATCGGAAAAGAAATAGAACAAAAAATTTATAACGCAGGTGTTCATTGGTCGGCCGACCTAAGTCAAGTCCGTTGACACTCTCAAATCCTTTCCCAGGAGTTCGAGTCGATCAACCTTTGAAAGTTTGGCAGATTCAATTACTGTTCTAAAAAGTTACAAAATTATCATTATATTAATATTTTAAAATTAAATTTAAACAAAAATGATTGATAGAATAATAACATGGGCAGGCGGGTTTGAGGCTTAAAATCCAGGACCAACAGTCTAGCTCATTCATAGGTGTTATGTTTTAGTAATTGTACACACTTATAATTTCATCAAGCATACGTATATACAAAGAAGAAATCAACTTATATAGTGTAAACTTTTTTAATTTTATATATTTTTAATTATTAATTTAGATAAATTTTAAAGATAAAAGATAAGTAAAAAAATAGTTTAATATCATCCATGGAATCAATTAAAATATAGAGTTAAAAAAATGTGTACAACCTTTTATGTAAGTTTATCTATTCTATATATATCATTTATATATAAAAGTATGAACTTTAAAAGTATTAAAAGTCATAGACCTAAATACTCTTATAAATTTTTAAATTAAAAAATTTAACTTTTATTAATTTATTTAAATTTTATTTAAATAAACTAAATTAAAAATAGAGTTTATGTGAAATTAAACTATTTAAAATTTTAAAATTTTAAAATTTTAATTTCAAAAGTGTTAAAAGTGATTGGTTAAAATATCTTTAGTAAATATTTTTATAAATTTTAATTTAAATGAATTTTTTTATTATTAGAGTTTTTTTATATATATAATTAGACTAAAAAAGTGCTAAAATTGATTGATTAAAATATCCTTAACAAAATATTTAATTTAAAAAATGTTAAAAATAATTTATTAAAATACTGTTAATAATTTTTTTATAAATTTTAATTTAAATGATTATTTTATTATATATGATTTTTCATATCAATTTAAAATACAAATAGAATGAGATCAAAACTTAGTGTGTATAGGAATAAAATAATTATTTAGAGTTTGTTTATTTAGTTGTAAAAATAGTTGTATAAGTAGTTTATACTAATAAATAAATTCATTAAAGATAATTATAATTAAGTCATCGAAGCATATTTTTTTTATTTCTATTTTTTGCCTTTCAATTTTTTTTAATATTTTAACTATAAATTCATGTTAATGATTTTATTATTTATGTTTTTAGGAGTTGATCATTTGATCAATCACAACACAATTAAATCTTTTCAGTCCATTGAAATAATTTTTTAATATATTATTCTTACAATTTAGTTTTATCTCTTTAATTAATTTCTCTTTTATATTTTTCCTCTAGAATTTTATAATTATTATTTTCATGAACAAAAACTAATATCAAATCAAATATAACTCAATTGTATCCCCTCTACCAACTATTAGTACTGTTTGAATCATTGAACATTTTAATTGGATTTTCTATTTACTTTTATTCATAGTATACTCAATTATTCACTTATATACCTAAATAAATTTGACTCAATAATTGGTGCATGCTTCCCTTTATTTAAAATGTTGGATTCAAATTGTCATAAATTCAAATAAAAAAGAAATATACTCAATTCACTCATAGTTGCAATTTCATTTTAGAAATACTCTTAAAATTAATTAACTAATTCAATCACAAAAATCATAAAAATAAAATAGTGAAGATAAGGGAAAAAAAACTTAAATAATGAACTTTTAAATTGTTACAGAAGATGAATAACTAATATTGAATTTTAATTGGGTTACTATTTTTATTTGGATTTTGGTTATATTCAATCATTTCGAATTTTAACTAACTTCTAAGTTGTTGACTCTTTAAAATTAATTGAAATCAAGTCAAGATAGTTCATTTTTATAATTATGTGTATTATATTATTTTTAATTAAATTAAAATTTAAAATGACTAAAAAAATTTATTTATACTCAATTTGAATGTTAAATTGTTTCAAGTTTGAGTTGATTAATTTATGTTATTTTATTTATACTTTTATGATACTGGTAATAAATTTCAAAATAGAATAAGAACACAATACAATGAATTTTTAAGTATAAAAGTGATGGAGATACTAATGATAATTTTAGAAGAAAATCCTTATACTTAAGTTTTGCATAAAATAAAGGATATTTTTTTTCTTTTAAGGATTTTAAAATTTGTATTGCAAAAATATTAATCTAGATTAATGAGTTTATAATCGTTCATTTGTTAATCAAATCTTTGTTACATGAGTTGAGAGAAACAATTCAAACATTTCATTTTAAAAATATCCTATTATAGTTCAATCTCATTTATGAAGATAACATAAAATTAAATATTATTTGTGTTGTTATGATCCTTTACAATATTTTTTACTCCTTCTAAATAAAGAAATTGATTGGCATCAAAATATCAAAAAAGACATTTTGAATGATGGTAATGAAAATGAAACAATAATTACAAAATACCATCTTTTTGTTTAGTAAAAGAAATTTTTTATGGAGAATGCAAAATATTCTTCTCTTTTCAAGTGCAAAAGTTGATTGACATCAAAATATCAAAAGTTATTTTGAATAATGATAATAAGAATGAAGCAATAATTAAAAATATATATTATCTTATTGTTTAGTAGAAGAAATTTTTTATGAAGAATACAAATGTAATTATTGTGAATTTAATATATTTTTAAAATTGTTATCTATTTAATTTTTATAAATTTTATTTAGTAAATTTGTTCTTATTACTTTTATCATATGTAACAAACTTTTTACCTAAAATTACTTACTTAAAAATAGAAATATAAAGCAAAGTTTATTACTTTTATTGGTGATAGAATATTTCAAATTTTTAATATTTTATATGCAATTGTACTTTAGTTAGAAGTATAAAATACTGCACTAGTAATTTAATCAAATCATTAATAAAACATATCTTAATGTGTACTATTTTACCATGAACTAAAAAAATTCAATGGATATACTAGTAATATTGACTTAATACATATTGTATATATTTATTTAATTTAGTTTTAATACTTGCATTAGTATAAAAAATTATGCTTTGAACTTATTATTACATGTTAAACTATGGATAATAAATTAAGAGTATTTACTTATACTTTTCAAGTCATTTAAATTTGAATTTATATATATATATATATATATATATATATATATATTATAGAAGAATGGATCAACTTACATAGTGTAGCTTTTTTTAGTTTTACATATTTTTTAATCATTAATTTCAATAGAACAAAGGGATGAGAAAGACAAGCAAAAATAGGAAAATTTTATTTAATATCATCTCTTGGATCTATTGAAATTAATTATTAGAAAAATCTGTAAATTTTTTTTACTTATACTGTGCAAATTGATCCCTCCTCTCTTTCTCTTTCTCTCTCTCTCTCTCTCTATATATATATATATATATATAACTAAAAAGGTTTTACACATTTTTTAACCATTGATTTTAATAGATTGAAGGGATAAGAAAGATAAGTAAAAATAGAAAAAAATAGTTTAATTTTATTTTTTGGATCTATTGAAATAAATGGTTAAATATATATATATATATGAGAGATCAATTTATACAGTGTACAACTAAAAAAGTTTTACACATTTTTTCAACTATTAATTTCAATAGATCCAAGGAAAGAAATTATATATATATATATGAGGGATCAACTTACACAATGTAAAACTTTTTAAATTTTACACATTTTTTTAACCATTGATTTCAACAGATATAATATATATATATATATATATATTTATATATATATATATATAGAGAGAGAGAGAGAGAGGAGAAAGTATATGTTGTAATAGTCTTTGAGGTTTGTTAGACAAATTTGAAAATAAAAAATAATTGCCACTAATCTTTTTTGATTAGATATTATTGACCACTTATTAAAACTTATCATTTTAATAAAATTTTAAAGTTAATTAAAATTTTATTAAGAAGATAAATTTTTAGGTTTATGAAAACAGTTTGGATTCAAGAGTTGATTACGTGCGAGAAAGTATTAGTATTCTCACAGTATCCGTTTTAAAACAGTATCAATTAATTATATGTTGTCCTTTAGTTTTGATACAAAAAAGTCTTAATTTTGATATTTAAAATTAATTTTCTTAAAATTTTTTATTGTAGAAAAAACATATTTTAATTTTAATTTTTATTTTGGTCAAAATAAATAAGATTCTTATTTATTGAAAAATTCTAAAAAATATTTCAATATTTTAACAATATCAAAAGAAATTTTTTCACTTAAGGATCTCTTAAAAATTACTACTCAAAATTTTTAAAAATTATATTTTCGATAGTTCATATTTATTTTCAATATTATATTTATAATACATGTAATAAAATATGATAACTATAATTTAATCCCAATAATATTTTAAAAAATTCATTTCTTATTCTATTTATTAAAATAGAACAGAAATCTTTATTGAAAATTATTATAAATGCTCTAATACATTTTTCGCATTTTAGATAAATTTTTTATCTAAAAATTCTTAAAAAATCATTACGCGAAATTCTTTAGGATCTCATTCTTGGAAGTGTCATTTACTTTGTAATCGATATATAAAAAAATAATACACATGGATTAATTTGTGATGCTATAGCATGAAAGTTTGATTTTTGAAATGAAAAATAAACAAAAATTTTTTGCATTGAGAGTCATTCTAAATATTTAAATTCTTTGGTAATATTTTTTAAAAAAATTCTCTCACTTAGATAATTTTTTAGAATCACTACTTGGACTTCCAAGAGTTTCATCATAAAAAATTTTCATATAATTCATTATTTATTTATTTTTTAAAATTTTCTTTGTTATTATTTTTATATTTTTTTTATTAAAAATAAGT